GGTAAGCATCCCTGTCATTTCAATAGATGCAAACTTGTATGATCAAGTTCTCATAAATGACTGTCCTGTGCTTATGCCTGGCATTTATTTAACTTTTTAATTTTTTTTTTAATTTTTCACTGTTTCACAAATGAACCAGCTCTTGGTAACCATGGGCAGGCTCCACAACATCAACTATTTTGATAAACTTCTCTTCTGTTTATTTTACCCAACAACAAGTGACTCTTTGTAAGAAAGAGGGAAATAGAAACTTAATCATTTGCTGGGATGTCTCCTCATATTTGCAAGCATCTTTGATGGTTAAGATATCAAGACGTATAAGTTTGGCATTTATGGTAAGTGGTACAGGCATTCCTTACATGTAGTTATTATTTGAACATTGTTTTCTTTTTTTTACACAGACTGGCCTTGCAGTGGGCAATGTATTTGGTGTGTATTTAGCTCAGACATATGAGGTAAGCTACCCTTGGTGGGAAGCTGTCCAACTTTTATGTTGCAGCTTACAGGAGTAATATTATATAGGACGGGAATTTGAAGAGTGCATCGAGAAAAGAGAAACATTAGGAGAGAAAGAAGCGAGGGCCCACTCTACATGCATTTTCTGTTCTCATGTACCTTCCCCTTCTTTATCAGTACCTCTCCAATGCTGTTATACTGTATATGCAAAGATTATCCCCATCATTGTTGCCAGGTTTCCCGGGAGCATTTTGTCAGTTTCCATTCACACAACTGGGGGGAGAGAGACAATGAACATAGTGTCTTTCCCAGGAACAAGGATATTCAATCAGGGCTATCAATAACGGCCAAACCTGTAACACCTGCTGTGGCTGAGTTTGTTTGATGGGTCCTTGATGTTTATGGGTGAACCTGCATACAGTTGGTACAATTCACTCACAAGTTTGTTACAGGTGTGAAGACTTACATGTAAAACTTAATGGCAGCCCTGCTCCCTGCTCCCTGGCTTGGGAGCAGTCCAGAGTCTTCCCAACTCAGAGTCCAAGATACTGTCAATATGCCCACCATACTCCCCACCTAATTATTAGCAGTGAGATAGCTGTGTTTGGGCCAGTAACTCATGATCAGAGTTGAATCTGTACATGTAGGTCACCTTGTGATCACTCTTGCCAAATCATCCTCATACAGCTGTACACTGGATAAGAACAGCCTCAGACCCTTGTGGAACAACATACATGTACCTCCTTTATAATAGATGCGATTTAACACCATTCAACTCAACAGACTGCTGTTGGTTGGATCAAGCAACTATTAAGCCAGACCAATAACTTGTTTTGACCACATTGTTTGTAAAATGTAAAATACACTGTGTAAAATGTCATGACTAAACTGAATCAAAAGCCTTTACTTTATTCAATGACTTCTTCAAATCATTTTGGATTTTTTGGCCAGACAGTGAAAGCCATGATTCCTTCAAACAAGATTTTTCCACTTTAGCCACTGATTATCTTATTGGTAGTTAATGTAGTTAATTTACTTTTAATCTTTTAATTAATATATATTATTAGATAATCAGTAGACAATTGAACACAGCTTTTTTTATCTCTCATTACTACAGTTACCAAACTTACATAGCCTTGTGGAAGACCTCTTCTCCAGAGCAAAGCAATATGAAAAATCAACTAGAAAGTCTGATGATGAGAAAGAACAGTAACAGCAAGAAGATGCTGTGAGCTCGGAACAGCAAAGACGCAGAAAACAGAAATCATTACCAGAGTATTTGCCCAGGGGGGGTCTCCCATATAAAAGGGACAGGAACTCTCATCAGAAACTTTGAAAAGAGAGTTACCAAAGAGTTACCAAAATCCTGTTTTGTGGGCGTGGCTTGAAATGTTTTTCACCGCTAAGAGGTACCAGTTCTAAAACAACACATTTTATTTATCTCCTGTGGTATATTCTTTTGGCTCAATACCCTAAAAGGTTCCATAAAAGCTCCTGCTGCGGACCTTTTGTGGGAGAACACCCTAAGAGGGACCAAAAACACGTTTTTAACCCCTAAAGGGTACAACGAACACCCCTGTCCTTTTTATATGAAAGTTTCCCTCCTCCGGGACTATTTGTTCAGTGTGAAGTGAACAAAAACGGCGTGACCATGTTTTCAAGAAGTGCTGGGATCACTGATTTTTCTGGACGACTGGATACGAAAATCTCACTGATTTCAAGCTAGACCTGAGTGACGTTTTCTTTTGGAGGAAACTGAGCTCTGTTATAACGTAAGCTTATGAATGCGTTTCATTCACTAGAGGACACGTTATCAATACAAAGTATTGTTCACTGAATTTACTGGATTACATTACAACTGAGGTTGTACGTTGTTGTTGCTGTTGTTTTTTTCGATCTTTTCCACACAAATAATGACAAATTTTAACATTTGATACAGACTATGTCACAACTCTATCGCAGGGTTACCCCCAGCATTAAGTTCACCGGTACCCATTTATACGCCTGGGTGGAGAGAGGCACTGTGAGACTAAAGAGTGTCTTGCCCAAGAACACAACACAATGTCCCCAGCCAGGGCTCGAACTAGCCGCCCACGCAGACGCACTTTGGGCTTGTCACGCGTTCCTTTTGTGACGAAGTGGCTCATTTCTATCATCAATAAGAGTACAGACGGATAAAATTTTAATTTATGTAAGCTTTCAAGTTCAACTTTCAGTTGTCAAACTGTCAACTTTTTA